TCATTCATTGTGTCACAAGACGCTGCTCACGGCTCCCACAGTCCCAGCAGCTAAAATCAGCTTCGCCTGATGCTGCTCGCGCGCCTTGGAAACGCCGCTTTGTTTACCAGGAAACAAACATTCGGCTCCTGTCGTGCGCCTTTCCTCTCATCTGCCGCTGCGCCCGGCAGGTGGTGGTTTGCGGGTCGCCTTAAAACCCGAGTTGCTTCATTCTGTTGAGTATATCCTGGATTAGCAGAGTGCAACGCTGCATTTAAACATGATCTATGGGGTGTGTTATGTAAGAGCGCGAGGCCCTGTGGTGCTGCCTGCAGAGGCAAGTCGGTTTCCGACAGATTCTTGCTCCAGTCCTCTGTGTGTGTCCACGAGGGCTGAACAACTGGTGACATGTGGCCCAAGTAAAGTTCCATACATGTAGACACGCATGCATGTTTCCTGGCTGGGCAACTGGAGATGTGTGGGAGTTCCTTGTCTACATGTGCACAAAGGTTGAAACATGGCAGCCGGAATTGACAGCAATATTTTTACGCCGTATTTTCGTCTAATATTAAATACTAATACGATGAAGTAATACTCCCCCCACTCCAATATTTGTACATACATTGTCTATATATTTTTGTCTGTGTGTTCTATTTTCATAGTTGTCATGCTATTTCTTTACTAATTCTAAAAGAATTGTATTACTTTGTAATGTGTTCATCTTTTAGAACATTTTTGTCATATTTTTTCCTCAATTTTTAATTTTTTTTCATGTTTTAGAATATATATTTGTATCTACATGACTTTCTAATATTTTTCTATTCATTGGTTTATTTATTGGTATTTTCATATTTTTACATTTTAATAATATATTTTTTCCAGATAATGTTTTTGTATTATTTTATAATATGGTCATCAACATTTTTGTACTAATATTTGTTTATTTTTATGGTAGACATATTATTTTTATATTTTATGGCTACAGTTTTCAACAAATATTTTTCCTAACATTTATTCATTCAGTATCTCTGAATGAGCAAAATATGGTGCGATTTAAAATTAGAATGGGTGGTCTATGCTTTACTATTCTGACTGGCAGAATAATTTACGGATGGCTGGAGATAGAGCGGGATTTTTTTTTTCATCATCCCACGTGAGGAAGATTGCCCAACAGATAGTTGCAGCCATGAAAGAGCCCACTATCTTATCTTCACGCGAGTCGAAAAAAGGAAAACGTCCGTTTTCAAAACAAAAAAAAAAAAGGCAAATGTGAGTCGAAAAAAGGAAAACGTCCGTTTTCAAAGCAAAAAAAAAAAAAAAATGCAAATGAATTTTCAAAGATGAAAAGCAACCCCCTGGGTGCACGACGCCGGTTGGAAGCCAACACGGGCGGCGGGTCTGACGGTGTCACTGGCGATCACACGGAGCATGTCCAGCCTTTCTCCGCCATTTGGAGGGGTCGAGCTCCAATTCAAAACGCCGGGCAGAGTAAACGGTTTGTTCAGAAGGAGGGACGCTTGAGGGAAAATGGAGAGGAGGCAGGGAGAAAACAAACAGGGGCGCATGGGAAGAAAGAAGAAACTGAAGACTATAGACCGAGCGAGACCCAGTGTGTGTGCGTCTGCATGTGTGTGACCTTTAGGCTCATAGCTCCATTGGTGGGCGGAGACCTTGAAATTTCCCTCAATGGCAACGCAAGGCAGATTAGCCACCCCACCCCCTGGCCCCCCTCGACCGACACAGACAGACTACTTTTACTTCCACACTTTGGGGGCTGGTAAAGGGGTTTGAAGAGTTTCTCTGTCTCTATAATAACACTCACTGCCATAAAGTAATCTTTTTGTGAAAAAAGTTTCATTTTAGTTTTTCCTCTTCAAGACGCTGTAAAGTTAGCGCAAAGAGTAAGAGCCGTAACTTTAGAGCACCTCATTGTCAGCCATGGGTGTGCGCCCGTCACGCAGAGAGGTTTTTAAGAGCAAGGAGGTTGTAAAATTTTTGACAGCCACTGTGCGGTCAGGCGCTTCATGCTGGCGTGGCAGCTTTAGTGCGCCTCGTTGTTGCGGAGAGAGCAGCCTCAGTTTTTTGGGTTTTTTTTTTTTTTGAGCATTCAAATTTACTATTCTCAGTGGTCTGTCACTTTTTTTTTTACTTTAAAGTTTCTTTAAGGTCTGCAAATAAAACTCACCGTAATAATCTGTTACGGATTGTATGAAAGATCATTTATGAGGGCTAGAAGTAGATTTTGGCCGTATTGAGATGTTGGTCAAGATTTAATAATGTCCTCCATCCATTCGCACACAATGGATTCTCTGTGGCACTCATACAAGCTCGTATCATGTTGATCACTTTTAACTCCCCAGCCAGTCTGCCTGCCAACGGTATCGTCCCACGTCTGGAGAGGAGAGCCATAGGGCGCATTCAGGAGTGTAAAAGTGGCGTCGTACATCTCGGTGGAAGATAAATAGAAGCAGGGTCCTCAGGGATGGGGGCGGGGTGAAGTGAGACGCTCAGATTGAAGGTTCGGATTTCCCTGAACAAACAGCAAGCAGCAGCTGGGTTTGATTGATTGATGTGGACATATGTCATAAAGCGCATACGGGCGTAAAAATTATTTTTTCAGGTGGACTTGAATGTGGGCTATAAATTACAGACTCAGTTGATAGTTAAAAAATAAAAAGGACTGTTCTGAAAATAGCCAGTGCAATGGGGGCCAAGCTCATCGCATCTCATGAGCAAGAAGAGTCGCTCGGAGGTGGATTAATGGGTGGTCAAAGCGTAAAAGCGCTGACGGCCCGGCGTTCCGCCGCCAACAACTCTGATACGCTGTTACACATCACGAAAAAGCAGCGTGTCCGGTCCAAGAACTCTTTGTTATTCTTGCCGAAAAGAACTGAAGCATTCCTGAAGCTTTAAGTGGCTGCCGGGATTAAAAAGTGCAGCGTAACTTTCGGGTCAGCCCGATTTGGTCATTTGTTCTCAGACTTGAGATCAGTGTGGGTTTCCGGCGCTCTCTGGTGTTTCGCCACCACCTTCCGCGCCGCTCGATCGCAATCAGCTGTGACCGACAAAAGGAAGGCATCGCGGCTGATGCTTGCTCATGTGCCGTCCTCTGTGCTCTTCCTGTCGTGACGTGTGTGTGTGTGTATGTGCGGGTTGAATGGCGAGGTCAGGCCGTTCCGCCTTGAAGAATTCCATTCGTGTCCATTCCAGTAGCTCAGGGTCAAACTGCCATAAGGGTTCAGGGAGGACTGCCCGATAAACACAATAACAGCCTTTAGTTGTCTTTTATTTGTGCTACAAAGTGCGTGTACGCACGCTTGAGTTAGCGTATGTCGTGAAGGCATTTCAAAATCGTCACACTGGTTGGAAAGGAGGCTGTGTCGCCGGCTTCACGGAGGGAAATGCGCTTACACTTGATGTGGGCCGTCGTGCGTGTGTTTTACGAGGTGAAACGGGGACAGCGAACGCATCAGGCAGATGTTAGATGGCTTGTACAGTGAAACACGATGACAGGGCTCAAGCTCTGTTTTTTTTTCTCCCTCCCCCCTACTCCTGCTTAAGCCTTGCTCTTTCCAATCAGATTTGTCATTTAGGTCTGCTCATCTCATTATTTCCCTTTTACTCATCTGCTCGTCGCGCCATTTTAATCGGCATAGCAACCCCCCCGCGCACCCTGCTCGCTTTTTCTTATCATCGCTCCAAATATCAAATTGAAGTTCTGATTGTTTCGTTTGAAAATCGTCGTTTAGCTGGTTTTGTATGTCGACTGTACACACCGAGGAGGGCAAAAAGCACACTCACGTGTTGTAGGATTTTAAAAGAAAAGCAGCTGAACCTGAAATATGAGGGGAAGTATTTGGCGATGGTGATGTGTTGAGAAAGAAGAGAAAAGAAAGGAAGCTCGGTGCAGTCATGGCGATCCCCTGGAGATATGGTGAAAATAATCACTCCCTGGAAATGCAGAGATCAGATCTTGGTTGGGCGTTTTATGAGCGCTCCATTTTCCCATGGTTTGAAAAAGCAGCAACACAAAAGGTGGTTTGTTGTTTGGAAGGAATTTTGGATGTTGTATGTCCTAAATTTGGCGCGGCGCAGGGAAGAGTCATGCTAATTTTAATCCTAGAAAATCAAGCCTTTCTCTCCACTCTTAAACTCTGTGAAAAATCATTACTATGATTCTGAAAAAGTGGAAGCTTCTTCAGCTAGCATCTTTCTGAAGTGCCTAGAACCTCGTGTAGCTGGAATATCTCCCGCCAGGTTGTCGAGGGGACAATGAGGCGCTCTAAAGCAGTCATGCCAGTGTTGCCCCAGTCGAAATTAAACATTCGGAATCCGCGGAAAACAACCCCAAGTAGATGCACATCCGAGGCTGCTTGCTATACAAGCGCCGCCACACATCTCATAATATCCTTCCTTCTGAGTGTTTTCATTCTGCCTTTGCCGCTTTTGTCCCACTCTTTTGGGGGCG